GCTTCCAAGACTTAAACGAAGACCCGAAGACGTGTGATGAGTTGATGTCATAGATGAGTTCGATTCAGTTACTTTGCGTTTATTCAACGAAAGCTTTGCTGCCTACTGCGACGGCATAACTAATTGGTCTTGGGATGTGATGCATATACGGCTTGCCTAAGCTTAGGTTTTTGTCAATGGACATGAAATTAACCGTTTTTTCGCCAATATCTCTTTATCCTTTGGTCTGCTTGATTACCTTCTGCGCCGCCAGCCTCTCTGAGTGCCAGTCCGGCTCCTCTCCTGCCTCAGCGCTCGTTCGGGCTGTCTCCACATGCCCGGTTTGGCCACTGTACAGCCAACACCACGCCTTTAAGCGCCTCTGGGCTGGCCGGAATGACGCTGACTACCAATACTACTGGCAGCAACAGCAGTAGTCTGGATGACAGTCCCGACAGTAGCCTCCATTGCGCCAAAAGTGGCAGCCGGTGTGCTGGTGGCCTGCAGCCGCATGCCTACAATAACCACACTTACCTTCACCAGCACCAGCACCAGCACCAACAAGTGTTTCCACCAGTCCGCAGCCAGCCTCTCCAGCCGCCATCACAACAGCCTGCTCTCCCGGCGCAGCCGAAAATGACGACCGGCCTGCTGTTTGGACAGACAAGTCCGCCGGACTACACGAAGCAGAGCCTCCGACACAACTTTTTCCCACAGGCCGGTATGTGCCGATACCCGCATTCTGGATCACTCCAGTGGTCTCGTCTCCTACCGCTGCAGCTGCCTCTGCCGCCTCCGCAACAGCTGAGCGCACTTTCGCCCACTCCGTCCCCACCGGCTTCCTACAACATGCCCATCCAACAGACCCAGCCTGCCGCAAAGCTGCCACATCAGCCAGTCGCCATGGCGACATGTCCCGGCGAGGCGTTGACCACCGACTCCTCATCTCTCGACCCCGGGCGACAACACTCCGGCGGACCGTTCTCGTATGACTCCGTCGCCTCGGCCTCTTCCTCGTCTGCCTCGTCGCCACGCCAACGACCGGGGCAGGGAGAGGCGAACGCCGCCGCTGCCGCCGCCGCCGCCTTCGGCCAGCTGCTGCGGCCCGGGTTGGCCAGTCTCTCCGGCTTCTCGACCCGGTCGCCCCTGCCCAGCGCCCCTCCTTCGCTCGGCGCCGGTGTACCGCCCAAAGACGTGGCCACGGCGACGGCTGCGGCCGCCGCCGCCGCCGCCGCTGCTGCTGCCGCCTACAGTTTTGGGGTCGGAAGGCCGGGTTGCCGGGGCAAGAGTAGCCCGGCCAGCGCACCGGCCGGAGCAACCGGTCTGTCCTTCTCGGCCGGCTGGCCGCTCGGCTTCCTGTCGACGGCGGGTCAGATGGCCACCAGCTCGGGCAGCAGTCCGGGCTCACAGGCGAGTCGAGCCACGTGAAAGTGCCACTCTCCACCGGTTCGAGTGGGAGTGTGCTCTGCATCCTTTTACTCACCCGTTAGCTCCAATCAGCGACGAAAGTCTGGCGTGTTTGTCCGCCGTCTTTCCCCCCTCATCCGATTGTCATCAATGCAGTCATTGTTGAATTGTTGAGTTCATTTCCATTCCGAGGGAAAGTGTTTGGTGAAGAGATTCGAAGGTCGATCCCACCAGCTGTCGATGGGCTTTACTGGAACATTCATGCTGGCACTGTTTCCGAGGTAATCTCCTTCGATTCCAGTGAACAGGTGCTAAGCATCATCAGAGCAGGGTATCATCGCCACAAACAAATCCAAGCTAACCAGTTTTCTTGGCTCGTCAGCTTGGATTTGGTTGCTTTGATGATGTTCTTCGTAT